AACGTCAGCGGGAGAGGAAGTGCACAAGACACGGGCGACGTAGACAGGTTCGGGCCGCTGAGAAGCGTAACACCCTACTCCTGTGTTCTAGTGGATCTGTGTGTGAAGGAATACAAAGAACCGGAGAGCGAGAGTGAGTTCAGGCTCTAGAACCCCTTCCCCAGAGTCCCAACCCCCCTTTCTCCTAGGCCTGGGCCTCCTTTTTATCTGGTCAGGGGTCACCACATGGGCCTCTAGCTGCCTAAGAAGGGAAACATGCTTTTTACAATGAGGGCTAGTCTACAGCCGGAAGTGACCTCTGACAAGCAGAGCACACGCCTCCTGCCCCGCTCGCCCGCTTTCCCGGTGGACGCCCATTTCAACCTTCATTTAATGGCCAGCGACTTCCTTGCCATACTTGTACTAAAGCCTGGAATGGATCTGACCGGGACTGACATACCAACTCCAGGAGTTAGCACGCCGGCTCCGGCTAGGGACGAGAGCCAGGAAGCTCTCATCATTCCGACGGGACGGGGCGAGGCGTGTGACAGGCCGCCTGTTGCCACCTAACCCGCGATTTGACCGGTCTGTGACCGGTCACACACCGCGACCGGTCACGGACCGGATAAGCGTGTGCTACGCCGCATTAAATGCGGCGTGGCGCGCTCGTCCAACCTGCTATAAATACGGTTAGGTGAGCCCCGCTGTGCTCACCTAACCCACACACGTGGCGCCAAAACCACAGGGGGTCGGGGCGCCCCAGCCCTCGGGGCCGAAACAGGGGCGCCCCAGCCCTCGGAGCCGAAACGGGAGCGGCCCGACCCCTCGGGGAGACAGAGGGAGGGGTGGCCACGTCACCCCCCCCGAGGGGGTCAGGCCACGTGGGTGACCGCGGCTACCCAAGCCTCTAGTCACGATACCCCCGGCCCCATGTCACCGACATACTCTCAGATTACAAATTATTTTAACTTTTAGAGTATTTATTTTGTTCAAAATAAATCAATTTCTACTGTCTTGACTTACCATTGGCTCACAAACCAAAAGGTTTTATTTAATACTTCTTGCCCACCTCCCACTAATATTGTTTTCTTCTAAAAAAAGAGACATCTTAGTCTTTTCATCTCTCTATATATAGTAAAGCTTTTTCAAGATCCGAGTCATTCTATAAAAAAACTTATCTGACACGGAAAATACTGTATTTATGATTTTTCGTTAAGAAGAAGAAGCATCAACCAAACCGGTCAAGAAAGGCCGTGAATCCACACCCCCCCCCAAATGTAGACTCGCCCCCCATAGACCCTCCTACCCCTCACACGAGGGTCACGTCCTCGATAGATTTTTACCCTGTGTTTTTACGAGGGGCCAACGAGTAAACTTCATAGACTAGGTCTAAAAATTACTGAGTCTAACCCTTAATATAGAGGTGTTACTTGAGCAATGGTTTTATTTTAGAATAGAGCAAGTAATTGAGTACTAACTGATGATGATGGGGTGAGCCTATAGCTAAGAGCAAGTTTAATCAGAGAGGTAATTGCTCTCCTAATCTTATCCATGCTAACAGCTCATCAATCATGAGGCAGCACACACGACATATTAACTTTGCATCCCCAACAATCTAAAGTAATTTGTTGACTTTGTTTGCCCAATCCACTTTTTCCCTTTCTCTCACTTTCTCGATGGCCTCCCTGGCATCACCACTCGACACCACCCTCTCCCTCCATCGAGATCTTGTCCAGCTCCAATGTCACCACACCGTCGTTCTTCTCCAAATCTCCGGTGGCTCCCGCTGCCTGATCAGCCACCAACTTCCATCACCTCCTAACCACAATAACCTTCCATCAATCCTCTCTGGCTTCCCGTAATTATTTTTTTTTATCTTGGATGTTCTTTTATGCCTTAATTTTTTATATGACTAAAACATAATATGATATATACGGTATATGTTGCATTCGGTTATCATGACTATATCCAACCTATATATGTTCATTTTATTTAGAGGTGCATCCGCCAAACTCTACGCGTGCGCATTGATGCATACTCCCTCTGTCAAAAAAAAAAAGGCCAACCTAGTTATGGATGGGCTATTATCTAAATTCGCTGTCCTAGGTAATGTCCTATCCATGTCTAGATTGGTTTTTTTTTAAGACAGAGGGAGTATGCAATGGCCAGCTACTTGGGAACAATTGGACTACTGCTCCCTAACACACGAATCCACTTCTATAGCAAGTGTTTGCATACAGTACAGCTAGCTGCTGCCTGCATACGTAGATGCGTTGTCGGGTCCAGTGTACATTCATGAACATGAGCACGTTGTGCATGCATTCCTTAATTAATTAATTGGGCCACTACTCCGGATCACAGGTGATTATCTCTACTTGTGACGCGTCTTAGGGTATCCACAATGTTAACATGCACAGTAACCTTAAGTAATAAAATAGTATTTTTTTCTACCTTTATGTATTGGAAGAAGAGAAAACAAGGAATATTTCTATGGCCAATTTTAAGCTTAAGACTGAACCATAAGAAGTAAAAAATTAATTAGTTCATGCATTTTACAATATATAGAGTGATATTTCATTCATGTTGGATAGAGTTTTTTTTTACGACTGAATCCCAGCTTAGGATCAAGAATATCATATACTTCCTCCGTTTCAGGTTATGAGACTTTCTAGTATTACCCATATTCATGTGTATAGATTCATTAATATTTATATGAACAAGGAAGTAGCCCGCGCATTCGCGCGGGCATGTATCTTAGGTTGTATTTTAAACACTATAAGGGTGGAATATAAATTAGAAAACATTTTCAAAATATAAACTGGAAATAAAGGCCGCATAGATGCACTGACATCTTATTTGTTGTTAAAGAAAAAGAATAGTAAAATAAATCATATATCATTATATACACGGTAAGGGAATGTAAATTATCTTCCAATAAAAAAGAAATATATTTGTTGTAAAATAGATGGTATATTTTAATATACTACTAAATATAAGAATAAGAATACCTCTCATATTTAAATAAAAATCATTTTGTCGTGGTCATATATAAACTCCCCTATTGTTATAGTTTTAAAAGCTATGTGCATTTTTAATAAATGAAACTGCATTGTATATTATTAATACACTAAAAAATCATCAACACTGCTTAACTCGATGTCCATCACTTATTTCCACATCTATGTATAAATAGCCTAAACATACCACTTCTATCGGATAATATGATAGCACCGTTAAAAATAGACATAAATGTCTCTCTAACGGATGAAGTCGATAACTACAAAAGCTTTCTTATGTAATGCCCTGAAACATGGGTCCTACATTGATATAGAAGTGCACCTAAAGACCATCCTATGGCACCATTTTAACACTTAGTTCACTATAGGTACACCCACAAAGGATTACATTAGTAAGAATGTCACTTTAGATACATTGTCTACATTGGTCTTTTACTGACACCATCTTAACTCAACCATATGCATATGTCTGCGATATTTACGATGGCATAGTAAACACTACACCCTGCATTGAAGGACAGGGATGGACAAAAAGAGGAGGTGATGAAAATAATTATAATTTTTGCCTCCTACTTATTTCTGTGTGGTATTATTTTTAACAAAATCGTAGTTCAAAGGCTATTGACAACAATAAGTGCTGGCGTTTATGATTTTTCTTATTAGTATTTCTTTCTGATTTTACTATTAATATATTGATATTTTTTTTGATTTATCGTTTTGTCCATAGTATATGACGTACTATATGACGTAGGTAATTAAGTTTTGTTTTTTTTTTGGAAAGTGAGACGATAAATATAGGCAGATTGGTTTTCCATCTAATAAGTGAGAAAGAAAAAAAAAAGAATGATGTGGGCCCAGCGTTTTACGTACATATCAAAGTATGGACGTACTTGTTTTTTTATACCTATAAGTGCACATACAATGCGAGTTTTTGAGATAAATTTAATTGTATTTTTTTTATAATAGATCTAATGGTTATAAATATGGGTCCACTGCATTCTAAAATTTTTTAAAGCGCCACATAACGACTTAGGAGTGTTTTTAGAGGTGCTATGTGGCGGCTTAGGAGCGATTATTGGAAGTTTAATGGACTTTTAGTAGATAATAGATAATAGATAGATTGAAGATTAGGAAAGGGAAGAGGATTATGTGGGGAGAGAGGGAGTACGTACGTTACGTAGGAGGTGGGGACCGGTGTGGAGAGGAGGATTTTATTTTTTTTATTTGATCTAATGGTTGAAAATATTGGACACACCAATTTAAAGGAAAATCAACGGTTAGATTTTTAGACTGCCACTTGGCATCTTTGGAGCGTTTGTAGGAGGACACGTGGCGGCTTAGGAGCGCTTATAGGAAGTTTAATGGACTTTTAGTATATAATAGAAGATAGATGTGGATAATCTTAGAAAGTCTTATAACCTACATTATAAGACTACATTTATATGAATGTAGTCTGAAAGGGAGGTAGTACATTATAGCATTCGGTATATACAAAGAAACAAAGATTATGGGTCCTATTTTACTGCTCTACTGACCTTAAACATTGAGGATGTCCTAAACCTACAGCCTACAGCCTCTAATAGGCTATCCGTGACGAGATCCGACATAGATTGGCCGTTAAGGCTGGGCCCATCTAGAAAAGTGTGCTAGGAGTAGGAGTAGTAATAGACTAGTAGTACGTACGTACTCTTACCATGCATGCAGAGCTAGCTAATTACTCCAACAACAACAACAACATTATGTTATTTCTGGCAATTAACGCTTGACCCCCTGTGTCGCCGGCCGGCGCGAGGTCGCACTCCGGCTGATCGAATAATTTGCCGACGAAATCGACCACGCTGCATGAGGTCTCCACCTCACCACAAGTCGCTCCACATCGACCTCGCCGGTAAAACGTTGAGCTCGCACGTACACGACGCGCATCGTCGACGATGACACCACGCGTGATGCGAGTCCCTCACCAATCACTCGCCTCCACTATATAAACCCCATGGCCTCCTCGCTGCAGCTCACAGCCTCCTCGATCTCCTCTACAGCAGCTCACTCACTGCTCAACAATGGCGACGGCGAGGTTGATCCTCCTGCTCACGGTGGCGGCGGCGGCGGCGGGCTCCTGCTGCTTCTGCAGCGCCCAGGAGGTGATCGTGGGCGGCGTCGGCGAGCAGCTGGCGACGGCGCCGCCGGCCGCGCCCGCTCCCTCGCCGCCGCCGCCGTACTGCGGCAGCGTGAGGACGGCGGTGGAGGCGCACAACATCATCGGCTGGAAGACGGTGCCGGCGGACTGCGCCGAGTACGTCTCCGACTACTTGACCGGCGAGCGATACGGCCGCGACTCCGACGTGGTGATCAACGAGGCCATCGCCTACGCCGAGAGCCTCAAGCTCTCCGGCCATGGCAAGGAGATCTGGGTGTTCGACGTCGATGAGACCGCCCTCTCCACCCTGCCCTACCAGGCCAAGCATGGCTATGGGTACGTGTGCTCCAAAAATGATAATTTTCTATAACTGCAATTAAGAAATAAAAATTCGTACCAAGCTTGGACCCTTATTAATATTTTTAGTTTTTTTTATAAATGTTCAAATCCAAATTACTATCCCCTTCGCAGAACTAAGCCATACGACCACGCGAGCTTCGTCCAATACGTGGCTGGAGGGAGCGCACCGGCGCTACAGGGAACACTGCGACTCTACCGACGGTTGCTGCAGCTCGGCATCAAGCCGGTGTTCCTGACCGACCGCACCGAGGACCAGAGGGCCGTCACCACCCACAACCTCCTCTCGCAAGGCTACTACAGCTGGGAGAAGCTATTACTCCAGCCTGTTGGGCTCCAGACCACGACTCAGGCGTTCAAGACCGGCGAGCGGCAGAAATTGGTGAGCGCCGGCTATGTCATCGTCGGTAACATCGGTGACCAATGGAGCGATATCCTCGGATCACCGGAGGGCTACCGCACCTTCAAATACCCCAACCCCATATACTACGTCGCGTAGTTTGGTGTCGGCGCCATCGCTAGCTAGCTTAGCTATAGCTAGCTATATCGATGGATCATAGTTCGCGTGCGTTTCATCTACTTATTTTCTTCTCATGAACTGTCGTTTGTAGTTAATGTTTGACGCGTTTGCTTTGATTTTTCCTCGTTAGTTGTTGATGAGATGAAATTTAAATTTGTAATAATGTTTGTTTGGCATGGCAGTTGGCCATTCATTGATCAATGCATTGTGTTGAGCAAGCTGGTTGTATTTATTGATCGATGGATTATACAGTTCCTTACATTAAACATATTCATTATAAATTGGATTTTTCATTCTCATTTCATATCTTCTTTTTTTGGAGAAAAATTTTCATTTCATATTCGTGAAGGAGAAAAGTGATGAGAGTGTGGCATGATCTATTTCAACCATGAATAACAAATAAAAACTGAACAATCGAAAAAACCTTGATGCAGAATTTCTACAGTAGTTCTGTTAGAAATTAAGATGGTTTTCCTAGTTCTTCCCTTACAGTGCACATTTTGTTGATGCAATTGTCACTTAATTATATATGTCTACAACCATCAAATTTGCCTAATTTAAGCTCATGCAAACGAAAAACTACTATCATATCATCAAAACCATCATGAAATATGTTTTAGGGTGTCATATGCGTAGTTTGAAAAGTTGATGATGTAAAATAACCTTCGAGCAACGTTCAAGAATTCATGATTCCAAATATATAGTTCTTAGAAACACATACAAAGTGCAAATACTCGAGATATTTAACTATTTACCACTGTTACAAGTGTCAATTAATGAGATACTGAACCTACATGTCATACACGCATGAGGGCACAAATGTCATAGACTGCGAGAGGCAAATCCTTAATTATTGCCACATCTTAAAAGTGGTAAAAAGTTAAATGCCTCCGCATACTCACCCATATAAACACACGTACACCTTATCCTATGATCTTCGAAAGACTGGCCAGCATATGTTGAGATTGGTTTGGAAACTTATTAGAGTAAAGTGTATAGGCGGTCCTTAAACTTGTAGGGTTGTGTCATCTAGCTCCCTTAACTCTCAAAATGTATATCCATATCTCAAAACTTATCAAAGTGTACCATCTAGGTCCCAAATCGACACATCCCCTCTAGAATCCTACGTGGCGCTGATGTGGCATGCCACATGGATGTGACGTATCCTTTTCCTTTTTTTTCTTCTTTTCTTTTTCTTTTTCGTTTTCTTCTCATTCTTGTTTTTTTCCCTTTCTTTCGCTCGGGTCACAGAGAAAGAAGAAGAAAGGTTAAAAAAAGAGAAGAAAAAAAGGAAAAAAATAAATGGGTCCCATTTGTCAGTCAAAATGATGCCACGTTATGTCCGTGTGGCATGCCACATCATGCCGCGTAGGATCCTAAAAGGGTTTGTGGCGATTTGGGAACTACATAGTTTTTTGAGACTTGGATATGCATTTTGAGAGTTTAGGGATATAGATGACACACCCCTATAAGTATAAGTTTAAGCACCGTCCGTACACTTTACTCAACTTATTAGAATACCTGTAGAGCTGCAACTATCACCGCTGATTTGGCTAGAGATATTATTTAACAAACAAACATTATTAACTGAAAATGGACACCACAGAGATCAACCCTACAAATATATTGTCCTTGCACGTACTGTTCTCCAACAACCAACTTGCACACATTATCGTAATTTTATGGGTGTGCTCTTCGCTGCATATGCATGGGAAATATGTTGGTCCCTATATATGTTCTTGATTCTCTACATGGAGTACGTAAAGAACAAACTTGACCCTATGTAGAATATTATACTATAGCCATTGAGTAATGCATGCATTAATTCATGGCGGTTCGACAAAGACATGCATGCAATTAGCTCCCCATCTTTGAATAGACTATATATACGGATGCATGTGTAAGGAATGATTTAATTTAGAACAATTAACATGACACTTAGCTAGATGGATGGAACTGACATAGAAAAAAATAGGTAGAAAAATACTAATATATGACGCCGTTTATTTTTGTTATAACCTTTAACCATTCATCTTGTTCAAAGAATTTGTGCAAATATTCAAAATATAAGTAACGCTTATAGTTTATCTAGTGATAAACCAAACCACAACAGCAGAAATAAAATTTTTAAATAAGACAAATACTATTGACGAAAAAATCGAACACATTGGCCTGGGAGATCTGCTTAGCTCCTATGCAGGTCCAAATCTTAATGAGATGCGAGCGTGCCAGTCAGTTTGATTCTACAACTGACAAGATATGCAAATAGCAGATCAAAACAGCCAATCGGCTGACCAGCCGATGGAGTAGTTCCAGCCGATAGCCGATAATAGCTGATGCCGATACCAGCCGATAGTGATAGGGTTTAAGCAATCGGCTATATGTCCAATGTAGATAATGATATAAAGGCAATCGTCTGATGTAATAAAATAACAATATAATCGAGTAGAAACCAATCGGCTAGAAACAATATATAATAAGCACTGATCCGAAGGTTAAAGCATACATCGGCTGGAGGTCCGATGTCATAAAATCCACAAGATTATATTAAACAATTAAATCTTATTGCAATCGGCTAAATCCAATATGTATGCAATCCTTGTAAACCGATGCAACGTCCTGATAACTCATTGGCTGAAACCCCGATGAAACCCTTATTGGCAATCAAGAAGCAGGCTAGAGATTGATATTCTAAGCACGACTTAGTAGATCAAACTCAACTGATGCAGCACTAAGTATGAAAAGAAACACAATATCTAGACAATCAAGCCGTTGACTGATTTTCAGGGTGGTAGATGTCTAGGCTAATCTAATCTAGTAATGCGATTTAGCCGATACCGGCAGAAACCCTAAAACGAGAAGCAGCCGATAGAGCTAAATTGAGATGCTAGGACTAGATTAATATAGACATATGATAAATAGCCAGGCAAATATATTATCCAAACCAGAGTAATCCAAGTGGTCGAATGTCCTGATACAGCCTTGAACGACGCTGACGTAGACGATACAATTGCCTGGACCGGCGGAACATTGGACTTATCCCTTCGCCGGAGATCGAAGACGATGCAGCCCCGCGTCAGGTGCCATGTTCCGCCGGAATGTAAAAATAAAAGTAGAAGTAAAAAGGGTGGCGATGCGCCGAATTGTATTGATCGTGAAGATAATTACATAGACCCCGGGTGTACATATTTATACCCATGGGTTGATACAAGTCCTTGTCGGACAAGAAAGAAACTTTCCTAAAGATAAAAGGAAAAGATAAAGGTCCTTATAGGACACTAAACACACTTTCCTAAATATAAAAGGAAACTAACAAAATATTTCTAATTAATAGATAACTTGCCATGCCACATTCTCTTTGAACTCTGTCGTTTATGGATAAGCTTCCTTTAGTAGATTGATTTCCTTATCCGAATATAGCAGGAATCCGACTATTGGCGACTTGATAACTCCCATCGGCTGATTCCGAGATGCTGTAGCCGATAGTGACTCTAAGCCGATGATGACTTTGGGCTTACCAAATTTCACTGTCAACAAATACTACTACAAAAAATGCCATAGAGATCGGCACTATAGGTGTCGCAACAGCTGAAACCGGCACCTATAGTGATTTTACCTTCTCCACGGGCTGAAAACACATAAAACCGACACCTTTAAGCAACTATAGGTGCCGGTTTTAAAGAAAAACCGCACCTATAGTATAGGTGCCAGTTTTCTAAAAAAATCTCAACACCTTTAATATATTATAGGTGTCGGTTTTTTAAGAAAACCAGCACCTATCCAAAACGAGCCGAGCCGTCGAGCCACCACCAAGTAGGGGGTGAAAACGGTACGGACGGATTCGGAAATATTTTCTCGGAAACGGAATCGAAAATGATAAGGTCAGTTTCCGTCGGAACTCGGAATCGGTCGGAAACTTTCTCGGAATTTCCAGAAATTTTGTGACGGAAATACCCTGGATTCTTTTTTTAAGCCTGAATAGTGAATACCATGGTTTTTGGTTTTTATTTTTTAAAAAATATTTGTTATGCAAATCTAAAATAAATTAGAAATTTTTTTTCCAACATTGGGATTTATCAATAGCATTACTATCGATACTTAACAATTGGACTTATATGATTGTGTTTTATGATGAATTGTTGACCGTTGAGACTTGAGAATTGGATTTATCAGTTTAAGGTGTTTTTTATTCTGATAAATTTTCGTCACCGTATTCGCGCCGGATCATTTTCGCTCCGTTTTCGGTTCCGATAATATTCGATTCCGTTTTCGTATCTGGGGTTTCCGATTCCGCTTCCGCTTCCCAAAAAATATGAAAACGATAACGATAAAGATGGTTTATGTACCGTTTTCACCCTTACCGCAAATCTAGGTCGACGTATCGGCCTTATCTCCTATAAGTGAGCCTTATCCCCTCCATCTCTCTTGTCTGTCTCTCTCTCTCTCTCGGCTCTCACTACTTAGCACGCGGCGGTGGCTGGAAGGGAGGCGGCGGGCAACCAACGGGCAACGGGTGGCAGCGGGCACCCTCCCTTCCACCGGATTCGGCGGGAGGGGATCCGCGGCAGGCGGCGGTGCAAAAGCAGATCCGTGACGAACGACGGGCGACAGCGGGCAGCGGTGCAAGAGCGGAGGTGGTGGGCAAGAGGCGGGCGACGGGCGGCGGTGGCGCCCTCCCCTCCGCCGAATCTGGCGGGAGGGGAGGCGGTGGGCGAGAGGCGGCAGGTGGCGGCGGCAGTGCTGTCCCCTCCGCTGGATCCGGCGGGAGGGGAGGCGGCAGGCGGCGGGCGACGTGTAGCGGCGGCGGCGCCCTCCCCTCCGCCCGATCCGGCGGGAGGGGAGGCGGCATGCGACGGGTGGCTGTAGCGCCGCCCCTCTATGCCTGTCCCAGTATATTAATTGTAGATTTTTTGTTGATGTTTGTTGACGAATTTGTTTATTCTGTGATGTCAATTTATTTTGGTGATGATTTGTGGATTATTTTGGGGTTTGGGATATCAATTTGATTTTGAGATGGGCGCTTGCGCGGTGACGGTGCTTGGTTAGTCCGGCTTGGATTCAAGCCAGCTTTTTTTTTTTTTGGCTCGAGCAATGGTAAAGGTGCCGGTTCTATTTTTGTTATAGTTGTTGGTTGCTATTATTGGTGCCGAGCAATTGGGGTCAGATGAAAATCCAGCACCTATAGGCCATTAGGAACCGGCACGTTTGGTCCTTTTTTATAGTGAAATGATCAA